GAGTTGATCGAGTTGATGCTTCGCTTTTTTATCGGGTGAAATTTATTTGAAGTCTTATAAGTGTGTCAACTTCTTTCATGATATATTTTGCCTAATATGCACACCTCTAGACCCTCCTCCAAAAGAAAGTTTTTAACCCTCTGAGCATTATGACCGTCTTTATCCGGCCACCTGAAGTTTTACTACTTGGTATATATGTGTGTGTGTGTGTGTGTATGTACTTTTATTAAAAATATTAGTTTTAACACCATGCTCAGTTTTATCAAGAGTTTGAAATAAAACAAATTTGCAAAAACAAAATTGAAATCTGTGTCTTAATTGCCAAAAATAAAATAAAAAAAAAAAAAAAACCCTATCTGCCTATGAGGAAGGATGAATTGTTGGTGGACTTTCTAAAGGAAATAGGTTTTTATTCAGGTTACACATGATTGTATTCACATTACAGATGGGGAAAACACTAAAAACCCAACCATACTGCCAGCCCGTTCTCCGGGGTCGAACTACTAGTATTCAATGATCTTAACCACTACGGCAGAAGGAAATAAAATAATTAAATGGTCCACTTGGAAGTGGTGGGTATTTAATGAGACCGTCTCTTTGAATTTCTGCCGCTGAACATTAAAACCTTAGTAACTTTTGAAGTATCGAAAATACAGCTTTGAAATTTTACCTACGATTTCCAAAAGTGTGCAGTTTAACCAGTTTTGCATACTGTATCCACTGAAACTACTATAGTTATGAATCTTCAAGAGAAATTTATTTAAAAATTTAAATTAATCCAAATTGTTACGTGTTGTAGCATATAATTTACTGACACAAGACTACAGCTTGATCTTGAAAAATTAAGCGCATGTTAAATCCCTTTGCATTGTAACAGTACATTTAAATATGCCTTATTATCTTTCTTTTCTCAATTTTTTCTCCCTTTAAGATTTTATTGAAAAGAAGTTGAAATCAGAAATTTCGTGAGATTCATGCAAAGGGAAAGAATTAGTAACCTTTGTCTTTACTCATCCCTAAACTCTTGGTCAAAACTGTCTCATTAGAACTTTGATAGCTTGATGTACAGTTACATTCCGGGTAAATAAAAAATACATAAATTATTTTAATTCTGTTATTCTTTGCTTTCCAGCACTTTTTACAAACGTTTCTAATGTGTACTAAAACAAAATGTACCCCGCAAGGGTTAAATTAGTTTAGAAAACAGTGTTACAGAGTTATCGTAAGGCAATGGCAAGCCCAGTGACCTGCATGTTAAGGTCGTCGAAAGTCAGGAATGATGCGTTAACAGTGACAGTGCACCTATGTTGATGAAACCTGCCGAATTTAACTACCATCCTTCACTTTTCTACTGTGGATGAATCATCGACAGAAGAAAAGCCCTGTTAATCTCGCGAGAATAAATATTTCGACTTGGGTCTCTGCCTTTACTCTTCATCTTGTATTTTTATTCTCCTTCATTACCTACTACACCAGTTTGAGACATTGGTCGCTACACAACCTTGATAACGTACCGCCTTCCCTCTTGATAATGAGTAGAAGCGCTCCACATCCGATACGTCATTTCTGGGATGCATGCCAGAAATAAACTTGCTCTTCTTCCATCCGCACAGCTCCCATATGATACCTAGCCATATAAGGCACCTGAACCTGACGGAGCTTTGGCCGATATCCCAGTGCACCTCTATGGACACCTTTTGACCTGGGCTTTCGGCTAGCAAATTGGTCACTTGCTCTTCAGAAGGAAAGTAAACGATGATAAGATCCTCATGCAATATGTATCTTGCATTCTTAGAAATATTCCTTCTGTTAATTTCGACCTATGCTATAAGAAATTAATTTTATTTGTTCAATATACATCTTTGCATGCCTGCAATGAGCCTATTAAATTCCTTGCATTTTCTTGGCATTTCTCTGCTTAATGATGCGTTAAAATTTTTAAACAAAGCAACATATCAAATTTATGCATGTTTTATTTACTTATTTTAAATGCTAATTCTTATTAATTTTCTTAAGATGCATAGGTTTTATTGAATTCTAAAAATTAGTGATGACGTAATAAAAAGACAGCAAACATTTTCCAACGCAAAAAACTTCTCTTATTTCTTTAAATTCAGATTCACAATGAAACGGCGTTTTAAGAAAATGTAGCAACATGAAAAGTGAGCAAAAAAATTAAGGTACACATCGATTTACACATGTTCCTAGTTTCATAAAAACGGTCTGGAACTGGACACAGACTATCCCCCAAACACATGTATGTTTGAAGTTCTTGACAGTAAGAATTAAATACGAGTTTCCATAACTGAGCAACAATGTTTTTAATGAAAATGAGAAAAGAAGTATAGTCTTTTTCTTTGTAGAAACATTCGGATTTTTTTTGAGCAAAAGAGATGAAAAATTATCAGTCGCCTTCGCCGGGAATCGAACCACGGACCTCTCAAATACCAGCTCAGTGTGCTGACCACTACACCACGAAGGCACGCTAGGAAGGCGGGAGAAATACCTTACATCTTTATACGATTTCTCTCATGAGTTTTCAAAGCATGATTTATGCATGTAGGATATGTAACGCTTAAAGTTTAATTTTCCCTAATTTCCAATGGTAAGAGGTAACAGAAAATGAACAATTATGCCCACAAATCAATATCAGGTAAAATGAATCCATAAATCATCCGCTCAAAGACAAATCGAGTTTGAAGAATTCCTTAAGAAAGTGCATTTGAAAACTTTCTGAATATAGCGTTACATATCCTACATAGAAAATAATGATCCTAATGAATTTGTGGAAAATATTTTTTAAATTATATAATTTTGCTCTTAGGAATTACTAAATGAATATCATAAACCTGTCCTTTAAAGATTTTCTCATTGTGATGAAATATATTTCAATGAATCGGCAAAAAGGTCCTTTTTAAAAATGAGATCTTAATTTGGAAACATCATAGTGGACAAAGAAACCAGGAAGTTTCCGTCAACAAAAAAAAAAAAAAAAAAAAAAAAAGCCTGGTAAAATTAGATACTTGATAACGATTCTAAATAAATAAAATAAATCCATTGAAGTGATGAAATATAAACGCATCGAGAATTTGATACAAATTACTTTTCATAATTCTTGTAATATAAATAAGAGAATTATAAAATGGACTTATTCGACGAAATGTGGTAACGATAGCCCCAAAAGTTTTTAATTTTTATTATATTGAGTAGAACATGTAAAATTTTGAGGAAAGAATTCCATTCAGAGGTTCAGATAAATTCTTGGTCTTAGTTCAAGAATCTGATCATAAACTATTGGCTTCAGACCACAGGTAGCCACTGCACCACTGTATGAGTAATACAAGTAACCGTCTGAGCAATCTTTGCACTTTTCTAATGTGGATACAACCTACGCTTTTTCTAAAGCTAGCCACATCTGCGCGTAGTTTGATGCGCAAAGAATTAAAAAACTACCGCCACGAAAAAACCCGAAGCATGCCAGGCGTCTTCTTTCTGGACCAATTCTCAAACTGGAGCACTGGAGGGATAACCGGGACGGTCGGGACACTTTCCGTCGTGATGCAGGGGAACCTCTGACAATCTTCTCAGTCTAATCCCCTCCCTTTTTCAGCACTAGTGACGTTAGCCTGAAAACAGCGGCAGGAAGGGGAAATCCACAGGTCTTCCGAAGATTTGAGAAAGATGGCTCCCTTCAAATGGAGCTTCTTCTTGTTCCTAGGTGGAATATTACTGCTTGGATTGCCAATCAGAGGTAAGATAATCCATTTTACCTGAGAGCAGAATGGGTTGATAAAGTCCAACGTTTGTAACCAGCTATAAATCAAGAGACAGTTAGGTTTTCCAAGGTGCCCTTGAAGGAACTTCACCTTAACACGTTTCTAAATTTTAGCCCGCATGGCTTTGTTATGGTTGAACTTTCTCGTAGCTAATTTAACAGCATCAAAATACTTCCATGAAAAATTTGAAATTTTTATAAAAAAAAAGCACGAGATAAAACCACACATAGTTGAGGCTCTACGTCTCGTATGAGTCTGATTTTTGTAAGTGTTCGACTTTATTAAATCTATAAAATATTTCACTGTACTTCGCATTATCCTCCTAAGCATTTCTGCATTAAAGAACAGAAACAAACATTGCCTCATAGGTTACCCTTTTCGTTTCTTGTTACATGTATTAAATGGAAGTTTGGGGAATAACCCTATTCCCAAAAAAGACATTGTATAATTAATTGTATTATGTTTATTTGAGTTTTTGAGTGATTCTAGTTGGTTTGCTAAATATGTACGTATTTCGTTTCGAAATAGAGGAAAAGGTTAAGGAACTCTGGAAATTAGATGCGAAAAAATTTAATGCTGTAGATCTCACTTCATTTTAGAAGGCCTAGATACAACTTGAATTCTTAAATGAAATCCATAATTCTGTAAAAACATTTTTCCCTTAAACATTACAGAAAAATTATCTTTTACGCATTCATTAGTACACTAAAAATGACATTTGCCAGGATTTAATATTAACAAGTTAAGAAACGCAGCATATAATAATAGAAATGAGATTCATTAGCCCATTATTAATATTAATCAATATATTTTAAATTTTATCTATTATATCCAAACGTAGATGTTATAAAATTATGAATTCATTATTGCATATTTTTATTATTGTGATGTTATTCACTTATATGTTATCAATTATTTCAAACTTTATTCTCCCACTTTTATTTCATTTTTTCCGCTTTTATTTGAATGTCATTTATGTTTCTCATTTGTTGTTTTTCTATTTTCAAATTACTGTATGTAATGTTACGTATGCAAAAATGTTTTAAAATCCGAAAGCATGTAACATAAATAATTTAAATTTAAATAGAACAGTGTTAGGCTAAGACGCGTTGGGCCTCTTTTTTTTTTTTTTTTTTGTATAATCCGAAAAATTAATCATTTGACACGCAGTCCGTTTATAAAAACTTTGGTTTTATATTTCTCGCATTTTTTTCTTTTTTAAGAATCTTTAAAATTTCATGAATCATCAATCGCATAGCATAATTTTTACTATTTCTGAAAGTGATGAATTTAAAAATTTGCGTTTTAACAATTTACGTTCATGATTACTTAATCTTATTAGAGTTCACACAGTCTTATGATAATCATACTATTTAATTTGATTTTCCCGGAACACACATGTAGTCATATTTTATGTATAAGTACTTATTTCCATAGTACTTACATAGTCTTAAGCGACTGGTGCTATTTCAGAATGGAAACTTTGATGGTACTGCAGAACGAGAAATAATGCCCATTTAAAAAAAGGATCACATCCTTTCATTTAAGACTAATGCTTTCTAAAACTTTTGCGGTAAAAACCACACGAAATGAAAACTTACCCTTTATTTAGAGGCTTAAATTTGTTTGCGCAGTAGAATACGTCAAGCATGTGATGGCTATATGCCTAAGGAGAGAAATGCTTTTGTGGAGGACTGTTGAAGGAAAATAGCTTGTATTTACTTTATACATGGGGCAAACTTTGAAAGGGTTATACCGCTGGCCTATTCACTAAGATTCAAACCTTATTCCAACGACTAGTATTCCGTGATCCAATCCACTTGATCAGGAGCAAAAGAAATTTGAGAAAAATTGTCTTCATCATTGAGGATCATTGTAAACCAGGCTGATTCAGCTGTGTCAGAATTCTTAAACTGGAACGGTTGCTTGTAAGAATGAATTTTTAAACTTCCAATTACTTGAAAAAAAATATTTTTGTATTGCAAACTATACCTTTCAGTTTTTTATATATTTATAATATATACTTATACAATGGACAAGTTTTGTTGTTTCCGGATTCTTTCCATACTCGTGACTGAAAAACAACAACAGACTCATATTTCATATATCACGTATTGCTTTTGTCGATAGCTTAACTCTGAATGCACAACTTATTTGATAACTTATTATTGTGAAAGGAAGTATTATCAGTTAGGTTATATGGTATTTTCTCCCTCCTTCCAGCCTGCCTTCGTGGTGTAGCACACTTGGCGGGTATTCGAGAGAGCCAGGTTCGAATCCCCTCTGCCAGGGCATGCCCATTTTTCATATCTCTTGCTTCCAAAAAAATACTAATGACTCTACCAGGTATATGCGCATCGCATACACACAAGACGTTAGCAAAAACTTTTTTTTTAAGTAAAGTATAACAGAAGTTACAATAATTACAGAAAAAATTCTGTATACAACTAAAGAAAAATTATAACTGACATTTGTGTTTGAAAATGGAAACAAGTAACGTATGTTTTTATTCTGACTAAAGCATTGAATATGCGCTGTTTCTTATGACGAAGATCAAAGCTTGCTTATCTTAGAATATTTTTCATGTTCAGCAGGTTTAAGGAATTAATTTATATGAGCATTTGACACAGAATTGTAACTCTAAGTTTTTATTTTCTCTCTGACCCTTAAAAAACCGTTATATTTATTCCTGTCATTTCCTTAATCAAACTTATATTGTTACTAAAGTACATATCCGAAGAAGTAGCAATTCGCTTTTGCAGTCTATTAGATTCCGAAGTCGAATAATATTTAAGCAAAATCTCCTTTTAAGAAAAATTCTTATAATGTGTCTCCCATCATAAGTTAGTATATATGGAAGAATTTTTTTGCAAGTGTATTTCTGAATTTAGCCTTTTTGGAAGTTTCATTGATATAACAGAAAAATATTGTTCGCTAGAATTAATAGTTAAGTAGTTCATTTTGCTAACAATGTCACAGAGGTATTAATATTCTTTATTAAAGACTTATTTATAGCACTTTGCTCTTGAAAGCGTAAATTACAAAGTGTTATGAATTCGAATAAATGAATCATTTACACCTTACATGCCATATTTTTCTGCTCCTTTTTTTTATCAAAATAGAATGCATTTCCTCGCCGAAATACGGTTACAACACAACTGTGTTTCTCTATGAAATTACGAGTATCCTTCTCATGTTTATGTTAGCTTCTGTCTTTCTTTATGGAAAAAGCACGTTGATACAGAATGAATGCTAGCCTTGAAAGAGAAAAACACGTAAGCACGTGTTCACGTATTACGTTAATTAAACTTATAATGTTGTTTAAGTAGAACCGACATTAATTATTTAAAGCATAAAAATAATTAATTCTCTTTACAGATTTTTTAGATCACTGTATGGAATAAATTATTCAAACATAAACGATTTATTTATTTTTAGAATTATACTGCTGAAGTTAAAATTAATTTTATTTGCATTAATGAAATTAATTTACATATGCATAAGTCACATGATGCAATAAGTTTCTTAAAATTTGTATAATCTGTAATATTCTAATCACATTAGGGAGATCATTTAATAACTAAACATTTACCTTCAGGAAGACATTTTGTAATCTCAAAGATGGAACCAGAATAAGTGTTTTGGCATTTTTCATTATTTTTACAGATAATATACTTTATTTGCACATAAAATACAAGAATGAATTTTAGGAAAAGATAATTTATCTTATATATGCTCAGACATATTGTTTTTTATTCTATAAAATGTATTAATATCCTGAACTCTGTTTAATATTAGGATTCAGTTTAATACCCCAGGCATAATATTAAATTTATGTTCCTCTTGTTTCCGCTCTGGTTTCCAAAAAGACTTTCAAAGAAATTTTGTAAAAAAGCGATTAACAGGACAGTATTTTAACCGGTTTATCTTTTCAATAAATTTAAAAACCAGAACATATTAAATAAGGAAACAATTATATGAAAAGTATTTCCATTCACTTGCTAAGTACTCCAGAAATTTATTCGTACTGCAGCCTTATTGACTATTCTTAGAACTTTTGGATTTCAATTTCTTATTATCCATAAGTAGGGATTGTAGCTATTCTTCGTCAAATATTAGATAAACCGTAAAACAATGTAATATTTTATGAGACAAACGTGCATCTAATATTTCAATAACAAAATTGCAGCTGTACGTGAATTTGTTTTTCAATATATATATTTAAAAATTTATTTGTAGTTTTCGACAGTTTTAAAAACTCACACCTAAATTACATAATCTAGAAATAGTAAAAATATTAAACAAAAGTTAGTATGCTATTAATGCGTAAATTGTACGTAACTATTACGCTTTCACTAGCGTAAAATGTACACAAATCCGTTACATCTGCTTTTAAGCGATTGTTCATGTTAGTGGTAAGGCCTTATTGGAAACAATATGTTATTAGTAATTGAATTCTTAAGGAATCAATATTTAATTTGCGCGCAATTAGAATTTTGAACTTTTCTCTTCATCTTTTTTGAACGTCTTTCGTCTTTTTAAAGACTGAAATTTTGGCTGAGATTTGGACCCTAGTATCTTGCCAACAATGGGTGCCCTGTCCATTAGATTACCCAGCTTATCTCATGTGCATTTTTTCATATGACGGCTAGAGGTGACTGACTCATTTTATTCAACTGAAGGTAGAAGGTGACATCAGAAGGTAATATGCCATCAGAAATATTTAAATTTCCCTGAGTTACGCATGCCTGTTCAGTCAAAAGATTTGAGCACCAATTCAACCATAGAACAATGATTATTTATTATTTAAAAAAAGGGGGGAAGCCGAAATGTCTCCGTCTCTCCTTAGAAAATAATCACTTAAAGTTTCTTGGTCAATACCATAAACGAATAGTGCAGGTAAAGCGTATGAATTAATAAAATAATTCTGGTAATAGAATTAAAGAAGTTTCCGTTTGCAACTTATTATAAAATA